ATATGCCTACTTCCCGAGGCTTGTCCCAGAGCCGGAGGTGAAGACACCCCCCATGGTATCGTATTCACACGGATACAACGTGAGATGTCAGCGGAGGCCCCGAGAGTCTTTCTCATTCTTCCGTCGATATTTCGATACTGTAGCCGCAGCAAAGGTAGTTCAAACCTTTCAGTCATTTCAGTTCTACTTCAGATTAACATTGCATCTTTAATGACAGCTAATAACCTGTACATGCATCATTTACAGATTACCTGGCAGCCGTGGGCAGTGATGCCTGATGGGGTTAGAGATCAGTTTGCCGGTGCTTGGGAGACGTCCTGATTTCGGGTTTAGCTTGAGGGCCCAGTTTGTCGAGTGTGGTTCTTGGGGGAGCGCTTCCTGTGACAGAGCCTCGGTTTTCCCGAGCCAGTGGTTCCGATGCCGCCTCCCACTCACATGAGGATTACAGAGAGGTACACCCCACAGGAGATGATCGATTTCACAATAGGTTGGGACGCCGATCTCTTCAGGCTTGACGGCGACTATACTGCCTTTATCCAGACATATCTCATGCCACCTCTGACCGACATTCATAGAGGTGAGAGAGATAGACCTGTAGCCGCAGCAGAGAGAGCGGGTGGATCTAGGGCGACTCAGGCCCATGACAGGAGAGGCCCCTAGGCGAGGCGGGGAGCAGGATGGCCGGAGCTGCCTACTACCGTGACCTGCCGGGGATGCGCTGGAGAGATTTATCAGATTCCCATCGCTCTTGCCCCAGATGGCCACGCGCTTGTCGGAGTTCGAGGGCCAACCCCGGTATGTACCATACATTACATTTTGCATATTCAATTCATTTCAGTTTACGCATTGCGAATTACTAATCATCTCAACAAGTCATTATTAAACATAACATGAGCCATAACTAAAAAACTCATGAATCATAATTAAAATAATGTCATAACTAAATAAGAAAATTAATCATAACTAAAAAAAAAATGACATAATTATGATTGTATATGGTACATCCCTTTCAAGGGTTTACAATTTCCCTTAAATGTATGATACACACTCAAAAAGTGTGTGTGGGTCTCGATTCACCAAAACTCCTACTCCTCGCTAGGAGGTCAGTAATTCAAATCTCTACACCTATATGTGAGTTTTATTCCTCGTGTATTAATTGGGTTTTCTCTCATACTTTGAGAGTTTCTTTACAAAAGTTTGTATCGTATTTGATCTTCATTACGATGATTGTAATTTAATTGGGACATTCTCGCCTATTTTGAGAATTTCTTTGTAAAAATATGTGGTTTTCTCTCCTATTTTAGGATTTTCTTTGTAAAAATTTATATTGTATTTAATCTCTATTACTATAATTGTAATTCATTAAATTTTATTGTAAATTTATAATATCTTATATCAATCAAATCTTAATAAATAAATAAATAAAAATTGAGTGTGGTTGTGTAACATGTACTTGTCCGATTTTGAATAATCAAAGTCAAGTCTATTGGACTCATTAAAAAAGAAGAAAAAGTGAAGTGAAGTGAAGTCAAGTCTATTGTGGGGCAGCATAAACATTTGGTTATGATTTTCTTGCCCTCTTCACGCGACTGCATGCCACGAACGTAGGTGAAGTAATTTGAGTGATGCAGTACATTTATAATAGATTCTATCATCTCATGTATAATTAAAATTATTTTATTTTCTTTGTACAAAAAATATGTATATATATGTTTTTTAAATCTAGTTTCTCTTTAGCTCAGATATTGAATTAAAGGGTATTGTCCGAGCCTAGAAAATTCACTACATATATTATTTTGGTGATATGACCTCTTCATTTTGTAAGAGTTTTTATGTATATCATCTACACATAAAAAAATTAGGTTGATCCGATATTCGTAATTTGTTCAATTTATTGTGTTTGTCGCCAAAGTCTATTTTTAAAAATATAGTTATCATCTATTTTTTTAAACAAATGAGATAAATTAAACATGCTACGATTATCAAATTAATCTAACTTATTTGTGCGAATAATATACATGAAAGGCTCCATAAAATAAATTATTTAGATCATTGAAAACTAGGGTGCATGGTGAGCTCCACACGCCTAAACAGTACATTCCTCTGGATTAGAGAAAAGCCAACCATTTTATTTACATAAAAAAAAGGAGAAGATCAATTTAATAATTGTAACGTATTCAATTTCTCAAATTTATCTCAAAACAATATTGACAATGTGTATTTTTTAAAAAAGATCATTCATTTTTTTTTTTTTTGGTAATAAGCATAATAAATTGAATATGTTACGATTATTAGATCAATTACATTTTTTGTGTGAATGATATACATAAAAGACTCTCCAAAATGAATGATTCGGATGATCGAAATGAAATCCCTGAAGAAAGACAATCCAAATCTTGTGTAAATTTGTTGTCATATAAGTTAAAGAAGGCTAATCAAAATAAAGGAAATTTTACAATACACACCCCATTTTGGGATGTGTACTATATGTATCAATTGTGACATTTATAGTCTTTTGTTATGATTTATTATGGTGATAGTTATAACTTGATTATGATTATGTTATAATTCATTGTAATGTTAGTCATGACTTATAGTGATGTTAATTAAAACCCTTCGTGATTATTAGTTTGGTTATAGTTATAATTCAAAAAGTCTTTAGTTATACTTTATGTAGTGTTTGTTTGTTTGTTTTTTTATTTTTATTTTTTATTTTTTATTTTTTTTTATTTTTTTATTTTTTTAAAGTTATGGCAATGAAAAAAATAAAATAAATAATTATGATATTTGTGATAATCAAAAAAAGTCTTGATATTATACAACGGGAGGTGTTTGGTGCAGATTAAGTAGGTGTTTGGAATTTGCGTTTTTTGATATTTTTTTTTTTGACTTATTCTTTTATGATAAATTACAAATACATTCCTTGAGAACTTTTTAAAATATATATTGCCCTTTGTAATTTTGAAAATTACGAATACTTCTCGTTAGAATTTGTCATTTAACAAAATTAATATAAAAAGAGAAATTTTTAACTACCCTCCTATATAACAATAAAATTATTAGAAATATTAATTAAAATATATTTCTAATATCATTAAAATTTATTTATGACTTAATGATTTATTAACAAAATGAGTCATTTATTATGCAATTAAAAATTTAAAGGAAAAATATAATTTTCAAAAGAGTGGTGCTACATCCCCTAATATATCACCTCTATTTTGACTTTTAGTTTAGGGAGAAAGAGAGAATAGAAAGAGATAGAGAGAGGAAGGATGAGGAGTGAGGGGTGGGGTCTGTTTCACATTATTAGAAGTAGATTAGAGGTGCTCAACTAGAGCTCCCAAGCATTTTTCTTTTCAAAATTACAATTAATATTTTAAACAAATCTTAATAAGGAACAACTTCTCTCTAGTTTGGATTGGATCATGTTGTTGGGCTTCTGTGGGCTCATTATGGAGCCCACATCGACGATTCGAACCGTTCAATGCGTATGACTTGTCGAGTACTTTATCCTTATAAAAAATCACGTTAATTAGATAACAAGAACCACTTGATTAGATCACACTTGTGTTAATAATTTATTTTTAAAATTATAGTTACTGTTAATATAAATTTGGTCTGATCAAGCAACTATCGATATCTGATCAATGTAATTTTTACAGAATAAAATATTTGATAAAATTTATATATTGAACGATTTGAATCATCAGTATAAACTCCATAGTCAGCCTACGAAACTCCACAACACACTCTATTGTGATTTCAAACGGGACATAAGCGTGTGACATCTCAATATATTCCTAATTTGCCTTAAATATTAAAATGCACCAACTTTGCATCTTTGATTTATGGTCCACCGAGAAAGACCAAGATGACCCATAGTCAAGTCAAGTCAAGTCTACCTATAATAATAACAATAATATTATGGACCAAACATAAAAATTTAAAAATTATTCAGAATTTTATATTAATGACTCATATTAATTTCATATATAAATTTTATACTGTACAAATTCAATATTTATCATACATCACTTTCCCTAAAAAAATCTGAAAAGATATGTCATTGTCCATAACATTTTTGTAATAATAATAATAAAAGAAAATTACCAAAAAGATGTGAGTTGATAAAATTATTACATTTGTAAGAAAAAATTTATAATTTTAATTATTAATAATATTAATAAATTTTATTATTAATTTATAATTATTTTCAAAATTTTCTCCTGATATTATTGTTATTAAAAAAATCAAAACGACAGGAATTCCCAAAAGTCAAGTAAAGTCAAGTCTACATATAATATTATTATTATTATTAAAACTGGTTGTGATTTGAAAATTATGTATATCATTGTGTTGTTTAAATAATTAACAGAATGATTATCTTTTACCCTTTTTTTTTTTCATTAGTGTTTCGGATTCAAAGTTGCACTTAAAAAATAAAAATAAAAAAGTCTAGGATTCAAAGTGGCAAAAATAAAATATTAGAGATCAAAATAACACGAAATTCATATTTTAAAAACTATTTCTTTATCATTTTGTTAATTTAGACAATCCGTTTAAAATTGAATCAATTCAATTCCGTGAATATTTCAATGATAACATTAAAATTTTTAAAAAATCAAAGTAATACGAAAAATATATATAAAGAAATGTATTTTGTCCTAATTTATAAAATGTGAGAGCCGCAAATGAAACTATTGGAGGACCAAACACAACGCAAGGTCATTGATCCAAATGATCGAACGCTAATGTTGTATAATTTGTTACAGAAGTAATGGTCCAAAGACATGTGTTTCATATGCATTGATCTGGCATGATCTTAGTGGAAGATCCAAACCAACACTATTGAAAGGAATTGCACTAGAATTTTCAAACCCAACTAATAATTTTCCAAGTTCTATTATCTATATAAATACCTTTGTATGCTCTCGCAGCTCTTCATCCCTGCATCATATTACTGTCTTTAATAGCTTTCTATTAATAACAAGCCTACAATGACATTCTTGGCCAATACACTTCCCAACCATTATCTTTCTTTCCCAGCCCTTTTACTCTGCCTCATCATCCTTGCATTGCCCACTTTTTTTGATTATGCTGCTTTTGCTTCTTCCTTAACTGGAAAACAAGCAAGTGAAGCAACGGCTCTCTTCACGTGGAAAGCTAGTCTTTACAACCAAACTCAAACTCTCCTGTCCTCCTGGGTTGGAACCAACCATTGCAGTTGGCTTGGAATTCGTTGCAACAAGGCCGGTAGAGTTGCCCATATAGACCTTCCCAGTTATGGTTTGAAAGGTACTCTTTCTAATCTTAATTTCTCATCCTTTCCTCATCTCCTCACCCTTCAACTTTTTAACAATTCACTTTATGGGACCATCCCTCCTCATATTGGTAGCCTTTGGAGACTCACCTACCTTAGCTTGCCTCTCAACAATCTCTCTGGAACAATTCCGACCGAAATAGGCCAACTAACAAACTTGGGCAACTTAACCGTTTTGTACCTTTTTAACAACCAACTTTCTGGATCAATCCCTCAAGAAATTGGGATGCTAAGGTCTCTCGTTGATCTCGATCTCGCAATGAACAATCTCACAGGTTCAATTCCTGCTTCTATAGGAAACTTGGGCAACTTAACCGTTTTGTACCTTTTTAACAACCAACTTTCTGGATCAATCCCTCAAGAAATTGGGATGCTAAGGTCTCTCGTTGATCTCGATCTCGCAATGAACAATCTCACAGGTTCAATTCCTGCTTCTATAGGAAACTTGGGCAACTTAACCGTTTTGTACCTTTTTAACAACCAACTTTCTGGATCAATCCCTCAAGAAATTGGGATGCTAAGGTCTCTCGTTGATCTTGCACTCTCAAGGAACAATCTCACAGGTTCAATTCCTACTTCTATAGGAAACTTGGGCAACTTAACAACTCTGTACCTTTATGACAACCAACTTTCCGGATCAATCCCTCAAGAAATTGGGATGCTAAGGTCTCTCGTTAATCTCGCACTCTCAAGGAACAATCTCACAGGTTCAATCCCTGCATCAATAGGGAACTTGGGCAACTTAACCACTTTGTACCTTTACGACAATAGACTTTCTGGATCTATTCCCCTAGTGTTCAACAATCTGACACATTTGACTGAGTTTGATATAAGTGGAAACATGCTCAATAGTCATATCCCAGAAGGCCTATGCTTTAATGGATTGCTGGTTAATTTTATAGCAAATGATAATAATCTCATAGGTCCCATTCCAAAAAGCTTGAGAAATTGCTCTAGCTTATATAGAGTTAGGCTTGAAAGAAACCAACTTTCGGGAAATATGTCAGAAGATTTTGGCATATACCCAAGCTTAGATTACATTGATTTGAGTCATAACAATTTTTATGGTGAACTATCTAAAAACTGGGGAAAATGCCACAATTTAACTAGTCTCAAAATGTCTAACAATAAAATTTCTGGTAAGATACCATCTGATTTAGCAGGGGCAACTAAACTATCCATTCTTGATCTCTCTTCAAATCATCTAGTTGGAGAGATCCCATTGAAATTGGGAAGGTTGGTTTCACTATTCAACCTTAAGCTGGATGATAACTATCTAGTAGGCAATATTCCTCCAGAATTAAGTAAGTTGTCCAATTTAGAGAACCTTAACTTGGCAGCAAATAATCTAAGTGGCTCAATCCCTAGAGAACTTAGAGACTACTTAAAATTATTGAACTTAAATTTGAGCAATAATAGATTTGGGAAAAGCATTCCTACTGAAATAGGCTAGATCAACACTCTTCAAAGTCTTGATCTTGGTAATAACTTGCTAATTGGTAAGATACCACAACAGATTGGAGAACTGCAAAGCTTAGAAACATTGAATCTCTCCCACAATGAGTTCTTTGGTTCTATACCATCATCTTTCAATAAAATGGCAAGTCTTACTTCCATTGATGTGTCATACAATCAGTTAGAGGGTCCTCTTCCTAACATCAAGGCGTTCCAAGAGGCTCCATTCGAGGCATTCAAAGGTAATAAAGGTTTATGTGGTAATGCTACTGGTTTGAAAACTTGCTTGACAAAATTGAACAATGGGGATGTTGAAAAAAAGGGCAAGAAAGTTATGTTATTAACTGTACTTCTTGTTTTTGGAATTTTGTTTCTTTTGCTAATGGTTCTTGGCATTCTCATGGCTTTTCGTAAGAAAGTGAGGAACACAAAAAACAAGCCATCACGAGTTAACCATGATAATGTTTTTGCAATATGGAGCTATGATGGAAAAATGGTCTATGAAAACATCATTGAAGTCACTGAGAACTTCAATGCCAAATATTGTGTTGGAGAGGGAGGATATGGTACCGTTTATAGAGCTGACCTACCAAATGGTCAAGTAGTTGCTGTGAAGAAACTTCATGCAGCACTTGATGATGACTGGGCTAATCTAAAAGGGTTTACAAGTGAGATCCATGCATTAATTGAGATTCGGCATCACAACATTGTAAAGTTGTATGGTTATTGTTCACACCCAAGGCACTCATTTTTGGTTTATGAGTTCTTGGAAGGGGGAAGCTTGGAAAAGGTACTAAGCACGGACGATGATATAGTAGTCTTTGATTGGATTAAGAGAGTGAACACTGTTAAAGGTGTGGCAAATGCTCTGTCTTATATGCACCATGATTGTTTTCAACCAATCATCCATCGAGATATATCAAGCAAGAATGTTTTGTTTGATTTGGAGTATGTGGCTCATATCTCTGATTTTGGCACAGCTAGATTTATGAATCTCAACTCATCCAATTGGACTTCATTTGCTGGGACCTTTGGTTATGCTGCTCCTGGTATATATTTTTCTATTGCAATGATTTATTTCCAATTAAATTACCCATGTAGTGTTTGTTTATTTTAACTTGCTAATGATGACAAATTGCTAGATTTAAGCTTGTTATTCCATTTTTTCTAATATGCATACCCTTAAATTTTGATGTATGATGAACATAGCTACTGAAAAGCCATTTTAGATGAAAAATATGCACTGAAGTAAGTAAATAGAGTTGCAGATGTGTTAGCTACTTGGGGTTGTGATAATAATTCTTATTTCTCTAATTTTTAAGAGCCTTGTACATTGGTTAAGCCTATTGTGGCTTTAGATAGGTTGGGTACTTTGTATATATATATATTCAAGTTTGTCAGTGTTGATTCTGTTTTGGACCAAATTACACTGTATCCCTATACTTTACACCATTTATTACTTTGCCCCTTGACTTTAAATTATTTCAATCAGCCCCTAGACTTCAAGTCCAATCAATTGGGCCTAAGCATATAACATTGTCTTAAAATGAGATTTTGGTAAAAATACAAGTTGATAAGGAATAAAGTGAGATTTTGATGAAAGTGCAGGGGTGCTAATTGTAACTAATTCTATCACATGACTATTCTTTGTTAGTTTTTGAAACAAGGTTATGCAAATGGGCCCAATTCCAATTTGACTCGAAGTCTGGAGGGTTGACTAAAACAATTAAAAGGTCAGAAGGTAAGGTGAGATTAGATTATAAGTATAAGGATGTAAAGTGTGATTTGCCCATTCTTTTGCATGAATATTTTTTTTCTTCTATTGTTTGAGAGATAAGGCTCATTACCCACGTTCATTTAAGAAAATGATTATTTCAATCGGATTCTATGTGTTTCCTTTATTTTGGTATTTATGGTTATAGTTGAGACTTTGGCCCGCTCTAATGACCTACCACTTGTGTAGGGATGGATCGAGGGGCTGGCAGGGCGACCGCCACCCCAAAATTTTGAAATAACTCCTTAAATATAGTGGTATTAGTTATCAATATTTATAAATTATATAGGCTCACCCCTTCAAGATTTTATTGATTTTCTTAAACTCGATTTCCAGTGTTAAGTCTCAATCTTACCTTTCTAACTCTAGATTTCCTTTCTCTCTCTGCCTCTTATTCTTCTTGTTTGTTTCGGTTCTCATCTTCTCTTCTTGTTCTTCTCTTTCCTCAATTTTTTCCTCTGTCTTTTTTTTTTTTATTTAAATTTTGCCCAGAACTCAATTTCCATTTTCACTTTTTCTTCCTCTTCTCCATCTCTATTTTAAAACAACTTATACTTTCAATTCTTCCTCATTTTCTTATTTCTGTATTTAAATTTTGTCTTTCTTCATTCTTCTTCTTCTTCTTCTTTGACTTAATTACATTCGATAGAAGTCGTACTTGCCAACAAAGAGATCACATTACCATTGAGCATTTTCGAGTTGACATTTTACAATTACATGTGATACTCAATTACAAGAATTAAAAAAAAATTATTTAAAAAAATTGATTGATTTTTCACAATTAAAGATATTTGCAAGCTTGCAAGTAAATTTAATTTACATTTGAAATTCTAGTTAAAAAATTAGATATTCCGAATTTCAAAAAGTATTAATAATATTTGAGTTGTGCCAAAGTGTTTGTAAAGCAAGAAAGTCTATAATTTATCCTCTTGTCAATAGATTGAATCGTCATCTTTTAACTTTACCTATGTCTACAGTGACAACAAAATGCACATTTTTGTTGGTGAAAATTATCCAAACTAAGCAACACAAGTAGTATTTTTTTCTCCTTGATTATAAGTTTGCCCCCTATGATTAAAATCATGCATCCATCCTTGCAGTTGTGAACAGTCCTTCAAAGGCCACTATATATAGTTTATTACTTCAAAAACTTATATTTCTACTGCTAACATTTGGCAGTGAGCAAATTTTCATTAATTCTTTATTTCTCTCAAATTGTTTTGGTTGCTCATAAAATCAGAAAGACTAATAACACTTGAAAGACTTTAGTTAATATTGGTGACTAACAATCCTATTGATGTCTTGAAAATCATGTATGGAAAGGTAGGTAGTTGCTTCAATGAAATAACTATCCCATTTTAAGATATTCATGGTTCTCAGGTTTTCATATTCTGAAATTTTGGCATTGGCATTGATCAAGCATTTATATAATTTCCTTCTTTTGGAACCCTAAACTATTCGTATCATTTATCAAAGAATTCCAAGCAATTTAATTAATGTCTGGAAATGGCCCAGGAGCTGTTTTGTTTACTTTTCCACCATTTCTTTATTTAATAATTTTCTGCTGTTGGGCATTTTTAATTTTGGGCAGAACTTGCTTATACAATGGCAGTGGATGAGAAGTGCGATGTTTATAGTTTTGGGGTGCTAGCACTGGAAGTGATTATGGGGAAGCATCCATGTGATTTAATCTCCTCTTTATCATCATCCTCGTCCTCATCATCAACATCCACTGCAACTGCACAGGAGATATTTTTGAAGGACGTCTTGGACCAACGCCTCCTACCTCCGAGGAATCAAGTGGCAGAGCAAATAGTTGTTGTTGCGAAACTAGCATTTTCATGTTTACACACCACTCCACAGCCTCGGCCAACCATGCAACAAGTTGCTACGATACTATTAAAGCAAAGGCCAACATTGCAAAATCAGTTCTACACGATTACATTAGGACAACTCTTTGACATCAACTGTTCAAGCTCTTGAGTATTTATTTTCCCTTTCATTCTTGGATTGCATGATATTCTTGCTTTCAATTGTCTTCTTATACCATTCAATTGCACCCTGTGTTCCAGTCTATTTTGCTACTCTATTCTACTAATTACCATTTTACAAACTTTTATATGCCTAATTTAAAAGTACCAATCCTCTATAATTTCCATCACAGTTAGAGATACAATAATGTGTCTTGAATTCTACTGTAGCTCACTTTATTTATATTTGTATAAAATATGAATTTCAGGGAATATGAGAATTGTTGTTCATTTTGGAAATTATTGTTCAAAACGTTGAAATAGTCTTGAAATGACTAATTGTTGAGGATACTTGAGAAGAGGGAATTGTGTTATTCCTTGGATGATGAATTGGAATAAAAGTATTTATATTCATCTTGTGTTATTGGCATATCAATTCATTTGATTACATTAAACTTTTAAAGTTGATTTGAAAACTTGCATTGAGAAAAGAATGTTGAGAAACAAGTTTCCATGAATTGGTTTTGGGGTAAATACGGTGGTTAAGTCTTGACAGGTGATGTAGATGAAATTGAATAGGTGTCGAGCCTTCCAGTTAATACTGGTAAAAATGACAGATTATAGGTGTCGAGCCTTCCAGTCAATGCAGGTAAAAATGACAAATTGGTAGTATTTGTATAGTCTACTTGCAGACACCGACCTAGGGATTACCAGAGTCGTATTTACCGCTCTTGAAATGAATTATTAAATTTTGAAGAATTAAAATTGCATGACATCATTTAGCATGATGGTTTTCAAAGATGAAGATGTGATTTTCTTTTAAAAGGGCATAGTATGGCATGTGCATTTCATTTCTTGAGACTTGTATAAAATGTATATACTTTGTTAAGGATTTCCTACTGGGCTTTATGCTCACCCTATGGGATTTTTGTGCAGGAAAAGATGTAGTGATGCCGCCTAACTAAAGGCGAGCAAATATATGTTGAGAGTACGAGACTCTCATTTTGCTGTGACTCTTTGTGTAAGCCAAGGGATGTATATGTTTGGGTTTGAATAACCATTTTGTGTAACCAGGCTCAAGCCTTGGAATCTTGTAAACCCTTGGGGGTATTTATTTGTTTATTCACTTGTTGTTGGATTAATGTATTGTTGCATGGAGAACTATTTTATCATGTAATGTAAGTTTGGAGATTTATATTTGGTTTTCCTTGAAAGAGCCATGATTGTTGTATTATCATTTGGGCTAGAAATTTGGGGTGTTACAGTTACTCTGACAATATTGTCCAAGAAAAAAAATATTTTACTTTCTTATTACTCAACTATGAACCTCCTCCTGAAGGGGTTTATAAAGTAAAATAAATTGAACTGTCCTTTTATCAAACAAGAGTCCAATAGAAGGATTTTGACTAAATTTTCCTTAATATAATTCCTTCTTTTGCTGATATAAATAAATAAATAAATAAAAAGTTATTTTGTGTTTAACTAATGTTGAAATTTTGTTGTTGGCGATTTTGGGTGGGTGGGATTCTAATTGGTACATGGGGATATATAGGGTTGTCAACTAGTTTAGCTAGAATCAAACACAAAGAAAAGTTATTTGGGTTGGTCATTGGCAGGAACAGAACCAGGATTTCATCACCGGAAAGGTCAAAAGATAAATAAAAATTTTCACCATATGCATAAGTACACATGTATGTACAATATGATATTATAAATGATATTTATATACAAAAAAAATTTCAAATACCATAGAAGCAATTTCTAATAGGATGAAAAAAAAAATTGGTGCAAAATAAAGCGAGAATGAAAGATGGGATAAGAATGAGATATGTATTTTTTATATTAGGAGGTCATTTTATGTATAAAATGAAATATATATATATATATATATGTAAAATGTCATCACAAATCATATTTTTTACAGAAATCGGGGAGCCATAACCCCCATAGTTTTCTCCTAATTCCGTCCCTAGTTATTGGCCTAGTGAATTAAGTTTGGGATCAATTTAAAAAGTCATATTTTTTTTTCTCTTTAATTTAGTGAATTTATTCTACATTTATATCACTTTTTTTTTTTTTGGGTTATAAATTTTTTCGGTCAATCTAACCTACAAAGATCTATTTTTTTAAAAAAAAAGAAGAAAAAGAAGAAGAAGAAAAAATAAGCTAAATATAGTAATATTTTTTTCAAGTGAATTTTTTTTCATCAACTCTTTAGTCTTGGATCCATTTGATGACTTTTATTTATTAGTCTTGGATTGAAAGCCGCAACCAATGAATAACAAATATAATTGGCTTGTGGTGGTAACAAGGAAGACAAGAAAGAACATAAAGGATTACTATATTATATTATGGCTCTGTTTTGGATCAAGCAGATTAATATGAAATTGAATATGGAAAGAATTATCAAGGGAAAGGTATTAGTAACCATGTCTATGCATAATAACCCCAGGTATATAGACAATAGATTCAAAATGCATTAAAAGGATTTGTCGCCAATTGATAATATAATACGGTCAGTGAGAGATGAGTCGGACTGATTCACGTGCTCCACGGGTCTACTGGCCTTCGTCTTCTTGGTGCACACCTGCAAAAGGTCAGGTGGGAAGGTACCAAAACTGGAGTGGTTTCTCCCTATTGACTCTCTGATGGTTAAGTTAGACATGAAGTGGTTGAAAGAAGAGAGAGAAAATAAAGTTGAGGGTTGAGAGAGGGGAGAAAGAGAGAGAATATTACTTGTTTTTTAAAATTTTCTTCACAAGGTTCCTTATATCTTTTACCGTTCATTTCCTTATCCATTTAAGCTGTCTTATTAGCCGAAAGTCTGTGGTCTACTCGTCGTCAGTCACGGCAGTTTCACCATACCAGGGAACGAAAGGTCTTGTTGCATTTAATGCCATGATAGCCTCATTTAATGCCTAATATCTGGGCTCAATAACTCTACAAGATCTTTGTCTACCACGTGACTAACTTCCTATCTAACAAGTGTCCAAATGCCACAGGGCCTAGACCAGTGCAAGTTCTTCGGTGGGTCTATTGTTGAGTTTCACCTACTAGGCCACAACTAAATGACCATTTGGGCCACCCAAGATAGTTGTTGGTTGGGCTTTCCTGGGCCATGTGGGTCATGCCCATCAAGTATGATTTGGTTGGGTTCAATTAAGAAGTAAATCAAGAATTAAACATATAGTCCTACAAAATTTATAAACCAAATCAAATTATGAAAATTTTAAAATCAAATCAAATTAAATTGAACAAATAAAAACTGGTTTGGTTCAGTTTAAAATAATAATTTTTAAAAATGTTGTCATTTTTATTCAAATCATAATTACAAATATTACTCACAATTTACTTAAAACAAAATAACATGTCATAATCGGAATAGTAATTAGAAGTGTTTACAATACGTAACAAATTATATATGTATATTTGTGTTTAAAAGGGCTGGTTCAGTTCTAAACCACAATTTTTTATTTTTATTTTTTTTTATCAGAAAAAAAAATATTGATGGAATTCAATCTACATAAAGCATTGAGACAACATCAAAAAAGAAAACCATGCAACATGAAACCAGAATTATAATAATTAAAAAAAATCACGATCAAACTGTGAATTACATTTTACCTATTTTAAAAATCAGGATTAAGCCGTATATTATGAAAATCAAACTGTGCAATTAGGTTGACTTTTTTGATTTTTTACTCAATTATACTTTTTGTGTAGTCATTTATTACTTTACATCAATATATATAGAATTTCCATATAAACAAAAGAAAAATGTTGCACACTATGATTTTTTCGTCATAAGTTCAAATTATGAAAATAACATTGCCGCATAAGAAAATAAGATTGAATATATTTGACCATAAAAAATAGTGAGCACTGAAACATTTTCCTTTGTTTCATATGGGTAATGAATCATGATCTCTGGGTGCTGTAATTTCCACAAACAGTAAAACTCCAAATTCAATTCTTTGCCAAGTTTAGAATGGACTAATAAATTATATTAAAAGTATAGCGATCCCGGGTTTACCCTTGTTGAACAGTGATCCGGACATGTGTCCGTGGATGTTAGTAGTTGATTATTATCTTGTTTACATCCTTTCTTACTTTGTATTTGAGTTATAGGATGTGTTGGGCAGGTTTGTTACAGGTTGGTTGAGTTTAGAAACCAAAACTAGTTGCCCAGATTTTGACCTGTCCGCTCGAGTGGGGGTGTTGGCGCTCGAGCGGGAATTGCACCCATCCAGTATTTCCTGTGCAGTGTTGGACGCTCGAGCGTGGTATTGGCCGCTCGAGCGGGGTTGTGTGAGTGCCGCTCGAGCGAGGAGTTGGAAGCTCGAGCGGAGACCTGGTTCTGTAAAAGTCCTGGGAGTGTGTATCTGCCGCTCGAGCGGGACTGTTGACGCTCGAGCGGGAGTCTGTGAGTGACGCTCGAGCGGGTCGACTGGGTTTAAGTTCCGTGTTTTGACTTTTCAAATCACTTTTTCACTTTCTCTTCTCTCTCCTACTTTTCTAAAACCACCATTGTTGAGCCTCTCACTCTAGAACTCTACCTTCTCTCTAGGTTTTGATCTAGTAGGAGTGATTTGCTCATCTTTGGCCTTTACAAAAAGGTTGTTGATCGTCGAGGGCTACATTTTAATCTGAAAATTTCAGTAAGACGCAAATGTTTGAAATAGTCATCTTCTTGACAAGGTATTAACACAAGGCCTACATAACTTGACGGGGTATAAGGATAGGTCACAAATGTTATATATATATACAAATTACAAATCATGTCTTAAATACAACATGGGATCTATCACTTACAATCGCAAACACGTTTGACATAACTAACCCCTAACTCTCATAGGATAGCCATACGTCCTCAAATACTTCAGCTTTGCCTTCGACCGGTCTACTAGTCTTCAATACCTGGCATGAAACGTCATGACCTTTGAATGCCTAGTAAACGCACACACACCCCGTCCCTTTTTCCCAATCCAATACACCATCACATTTATAGCAAGCAAGTAGTGAAGCATATATTCAAGTCAATAACAGCAATTTCAATAATAGAGGAAATGAACATGTCATTCAAATAGATAACAAATGTTATAATATTAGTGGTTAGTATTCTAGAAATCCCCCAAAGAGATTTCATCCTTCAAACCACAAGAATTGGACACCGGACTATTCGAAACTCCTTTTTTGCTACTTTGTTGCAGAACTAACCTCGGATGCCTACCAATGGTTATATACCGCGTAGCGCCAACCGCAGGGCCTCAAAAGGGACAACCAAAAAAAAAGATTTTATCTCCTGAATCCAACCTCATTCTTCCAAAGTGTTG